TGATTAAATGTGCTTAAAAGCAGTTGAAAAATGATTTCCTCAATCTACAATCCAATTGAAAAGATAAATGTCTTACAATTTTCTTCAATAAACACAATGATCTACTACTTGAACTAATCTCCACTCTTAGAACTTTAACTTCTTCTATATACATGGTAAGTATATAGCCATTGTACCGTTTACACCGAAAATTCTTGAAAAGTAAAGTTTTATATAAACTTTTTCTGACGATCTCAATGAATTTCATTACGGCCTGTCGATGTGACGGTCCACTTTTCCGTAAGTCAGTCACGTTTGGTCAAGATTATAGTGAGGAAAGCTCATACAGAACTCGGAGACATCTCATTTTGAAGAGCAAACATTTTTCCTTAAAATGATAATTTAAAGAACGTAGTTAACTGGATTTCAAGATAAAGTTTTGAAACAGATGCCACATCTTTTAAATAAGGCGTCAGTTTACAGTCTGTAAACTTTTATTTTACTCTTACTATACAGTTTATAATTGTTAAGGAAGTGTATAGAAAACGAACAAAAAAGTAAAAATTCACAGTGATAAAACATAAAAATTTAGACCTCTTCGATGACCTTGGCGTCAGCTAGGTCCAGTCTTGAACTTCCTCGATCCTTCCTTTCCACAGGCGATAAAAAAACTTTTCTTTAATTTCTTCAACGTAGTTCATAAAATAAGGAACCCAGAACAACAACGATGAAGAAGAAAGTAAAAATCGTCGTTATTGATATTATTGATAACGGCTAATGACTTTCATGGCTAAATATGTGACAATGTGACGAATGTGTTTAATGTGACTTTGCCACGGATTTTACGTGACTTTTTTTACAGTGAGCGCAACACGAAAACCGTGACAGCAACAGACAGTAAAAACGTTTAAAGTAACGTTTTCTACTAATTTCACGGCGAAGCCGTTTCATTCAGCATTAAAAGCGTGACACTGTAAAAACACAACATTTTTGCTGCGACCTTTTTTGGCAGTGCATGGTCTAACTTACCTCAAGCGTGAAAAGAAGGTACCTGCTATCATATTGGCAGCAGGTAACTTCTGACAACGTGGAAAGCTAACAAATCATGTTTAAGTATTACCAAAAAATTGTGATTCGTCTTTTTACAGAGCCAATATTATCGTTCTTCGTTCTCATTCGCCAGTGGATCGATTTTATAGATGCTGCTGCATCGTAAGAAAAACTCACGCTAAAAGCATTACATATATTAAAAACATAATATTTTAGTGAATCTTAACATCCAAAACGGGGTAGTACCCTGCGAAAGCGAGAAAGTTTCACAGTAACTTTAAAATTATCATTAAAAAATTCAGTGTTTTAAATGAAGAATTTAGTTACGATAATTGCTCTTCTTATCAAAGTATGACGATTACCCTACATGATCAGGTGTGTTAAGATATACGTTATCGCCGGTGTTTGGAATGAGAACTCACAGTGAAATTATCCAGTCTGCATTTTGTTTTCAAGCAGTATAAATTTTTGTCCAGTAGTCGTTGGACGCTCATTATATGATGAGCGTAAGTTTTCATTAAATTGAGTCGAATCGAACCGATTTAGGTTTTGAAATCGAATCGAATTGACTTTTCTTGAGTCGTTTTGGGCTTTGCTGTATATTGAGATCGAGTCAAGTCAGCCGCCTGTTGACAATATTTATAATCCGTTTCACCTCTTAAAAAACTGAAGTAGGTTTGAGAAATGTTAGGAAAAATTTTTCACTGGCTTTACGCACCGACTATCTGTTTTCTTCTGTTTTCTTTTATATTATTGATAATGCCAAATTATGTCATTGCACAATATTCAATTTGATAACAACAACAACAATAACATTGGTGAATGCTGTATTCCGATGTCATCTCTTCAATGTCTTGGTTTTTTCTTAAATTATTCGCATATATATTTTTGATATTTTTATACTGTGAATATTTAATCTATTATTTTGTTTTACTACGATGTTCGTGGCCACAATTATCAAAACTAGAGCAAGATTTTACAATACCACCTCTTTTACCCCATGCACAACATAAACCATTAAGAATATTGCTCATTGCTGATACACATCTGTTAGGTATGTCGGTATGTCAGAAAATCTTTTCTACTAACATACATTATAAATGTCTATGTATGCTTAGCCGATGGTCTGTTTATCAATATCTATAATGATGGACAGATCAATTGAAATGCAAAAAATTAACGATTAGTCGTGACGGTGTTTAACATGAAAAACCCCTAAATTTTCCTCGTTACTGACTGACTTCACGGTGACAAGTTAACACAGATGTTTAAACGACTTAGATGTATTTTATTTTTATAAAGAAATGAAGGTCATTGATCGTCATCTCTTTGTTTTACGAAACTGGAAAACTGAATTTACTCGATTCAGAAGATAAAAAGTTGCTTTAAAAGGTCAATTGTCAAAAATTTGTAGTGAATCTATTTTGATCATTTTTCATTCTAGAGTGGATTGAAAAGTTTCGTTAAAATTTCAATTCTTATTAAAAATATTACTTCTTATTCGCTTGTAGCATTAAAGTTTTTTCTTTATTTTAGGTAATCGTGAAGGACATTGGTTTGATAAATTACGCCGTGAATGGCAAATGTATCGTTCATACCAATCGTCCTTATTTATTTTTGAACCGAATCTTGTCTTTTTCCTTGGTGATCTAACAGATGAAGGTGAGGGTGACAACTGGTTGATCGAATACGTGTTGATTTTTTTTTACAGTCGTTTTTTCTTTTTGTTTTCAAGGCAAATGGTGCACTGATCAAGAATGGGACATTTATGTACAGCGTTTTAAAACTCTATTTTCTACTTCATCCGATGCAACCAAAATTCATGTATTAGCGGGAAATCATGATATTGGGTTTCATTATTCGGTTACCGATAATAAATTACATCGTTTTGAAAAAAGTTTTCCAGAATCTCAGCCATATGTGACAATGGTGACATATGATCATTTGCATTTCATTCTTGTAAATTCAATGGCATTTGAAGGTGATCAATGTAGGATGTGTGCTCGAGCAGAAAAAGAATTGGAAGAAATTGAAAAAGTATTAGATTGTCTTAAATATAAACAATGTTCAGAACAATATAAACATTTAGGTAAAATTAAATATAATATGAGGTATTCAGAGTAATCATATGCTACTTCTCTATGATGTTTGTAGTTTTAAGAAGATTATTTAATTTTTCTTCAAATTTAGATGACATTCGATATACGAAACCAGTATTACTCTCTCATTTTCCTTTGTATCGTTTAACCAACGAAAATTGTACCGATCTATTAACCGATAATCAAAAATTAAAATCAAATTATGATGTTTTATCACAAGATGCTACCGAACGTCTTTTATCAAAATTGAAACCACGTTTAGCATTTACTGCACATACCCACTTTTACTGTTATCAAGAACACATTCAAACTCAAACAAAAGAATTCACCGTACCCTCTTATTCCTGGCGAAATCGAAATGATCCATCATTTATGATGCTGTCGATTACAGCAAATAATTATGCTATTCAACAATGTTTTTTACCAACAGAGATGACCGTATTTTATTCTTACGGAATTGGAGTTACCCTACTTCTTCTTTATGTATTATGTGGAACAGGCAGACGACCCTTTTGGCTATATGCATACTGTTTTATAAGGAGAAAAATTAAACTTTAACTAATTTTTGTGCATAAAGTATACGATATTAAAATCTTATGTTAGAAAAACAAACAAATGTTGACTTATTAATGGTCTTCTCGTTTCCGTCCAAAAAGGTTGTTTTTTGGATTTTACTGCAAAATGACTATAAAACTTCTTTTAAATAATTATTTCTTTTTGCCTATAAAGTTCCTGCATGTAGACTAGATCCTATGAATTTAATTTTGTCAAGTTTCTCTTTTTATTGATATTGTTTATACTGAAAATAAGCCGAGAACATCATATAACGATAGTCTTGTTTAAAATGTTAAATTCGTAATATTCATTTCGCGTTTTATCGTCAGTCTTCTTCTCTTATTAATTTTTTTGGCATATCTGTTGTCATAAGCTGATGAATTTTGTCATTGTGAATATAAACCATGAAATTTCTACGTTGTGTATTTAATGAAAGCTCATAATATAAATCAACAAAAAGCTTAAAAAATTCTTGAAATTAAATGATGGAATTAAACAAAAAGTCATGTTGTTTGTATAACAGTAATTGATAGATGTGCTGAAACATTGCATCTAGAAAAAAGCAGCACGACTGACATCAAAAATCTCTGCTTGAAATAATCAAGCAATTTTATTCAACGAGAATCCATTTTAATAATTGAAGATACATTTAGCCAATCGAACATGTTGGTTTGTTAATCTACTCTTGTGTGGACTTTGCCTTATTTTTGCTCACAGCTACGCTTTTGTCTTCTACAAGCTCAATGGAAATTCGATTTTTCTACGTAAAAATTCTGTTTCGAAATCGACGCATGTGTTCTAGTGTCAGATAATTATAGATGATGGATATCAACTTTGTCATTTTGTCAAACGAGTGGATTTCTACAACAATTTTTACTAATGTTTTAATATTGTTATATTATATTTTACTAAACTTGTTCTCTGTTTATTTTCATCTTTTGTTTTGATTGCTATTAATTATATCATAGATTGTTTTCTTTTCACAATATCGGTGAAATAATTAGCTTTATTTTATTATCTAATATATTGACATTTTCAATTTAATAACTTTATTTGTTCCTTTACAAAATCATTAGTTGTGTACAAATATTTACTTGAAGAAAGATTATCATACCTGTATATTTCAGCGTAAAATAAAAAGAGTCAAATAACTTCAAATCTATTTTTGTTGAAAGGTAAGATTAATAAAAATATGTATCTTTAGATGACCAGAGAATTCTCATTTCATCAACATTAGTAGTATTATTCTATAAGTTACTCAATAGATTGATTATAGTCAAATTTTAGTCTCATCCTTGTTTATATCATTTTAGATTTTATTTTCATCATTTATGTCGTCTATTCTGATATCACCATTTGAAAATGTTTCTCATACAAATACATCTTCGAGTTGTTATGAAGAAGAAAATGTTGAGGATTTATCATCATCTGATTTATTATCAAAAATACATCAAGCATGTATCACACTACAAACGTTACCTATTAAAGACAATCGTATTCAATTACGTCAAAAATTAGTTGAATGGAATCGAAAACAAATTGAGTGGGCGAACAAAATAGTTGAAGAAAAGACAAAAGAATGTGATAAATTATTTAAAGAATTTGATTTGAAACGTCAACAATGTTTAAATTTAGTTTTAGTAAAATTAAAAGATGAAGATTTACAATTTTATGAATTAGAAGCATGTTTAATTAAACTCAATGATACACTAGAAGAATTAAAAACATCCAAGTTAGAGTTAGAATTGAATGAAAATAATTCACCACAGTTTGTATTTCAAAGAGAAGATGTGAATATATCACGACCACCGACGGTAAATTGATTGAAAAACTGACTTTTCCACTAAATACATGTTATCAATATGGAATCGAGAGAAAAAGTAGCTCTAACGCAACGAGGTTGTGGAGCGAACATTTCTGATCAGAATGAGACGTCTCCAAACTCCAATCAATGTTCCAACCAAAAGTCATAAGAATTTTAAATAGGAGCCCTAAAATATGCACCGTAGACGAGCGCCACTTTATGTCAAAAGTGAACTTCGCGTTCACACGACTTCGTAGCTGCAGGATTTCCCCGTAGAGAGCTTGAGAGGGTCTTAAAATGAAGCCAACAGACGTGACCAGAGGCTGATAGAGCCTGATTTTTTATATCTAGCCTAGATTTTTGATTAGAAAAACATCTTTGTGCAAGTTAATGACACTTTTTCGAATTTTGGCCTTTTGACGCTGATTATTCTTTTGAATAGTAAAATAGCAGAAATCGAGTTCTATTACACTCTAGCCACATGTGTTTTCCACATTTTGAGACGCTCCCAAGCTCTCCATGACGCTTCGTCACCGAGAATCTTGCAGCTACGAACAGCTCCATTTTGACCCCTGATTGAGGGACATCTCTAAAACGGTGATAGATGACTTCGCCAAAATTTTACAGAAGAGTACAGTCATAAGGTGAACATTCCCTGAAAGTTTGATCCAGACCCGACTTTTAGTTACCGAGATACGTTTCTGAGGGTAAGGGGGGCATCCTTAAATGATAATTTTGCTCTTCCAAACAAAAATAAATTTTAACATTATCGTTATCTTTTAGATATCATCATCTGTTATTAAACGATCGGATGTCAAAACTTGTTTGAATATTAATAATATTGAGTCAATGTTGAATGTTTTTGCATCAAGTCGATTTGAAATGTTCAATGCGAGTTGTTGTGCATTAGATGTATCTTCAGAATATATTCTCGTTGGTGATGGACACTTGTTAAAATTGTTCAATGTTTATCATCAACAAATTGCTCAATGTGAATGGGCGAAAGAAGAATATGGTCAAATACAAGATATTGCCTATTCAAAATATTTAAATGAATTTTTAATATTATCAAGGCGAGCAATATTCAAATTGAAAATAAATAATAATTCAAAGATTACAAATGAAACGAGCGATTATAATAGCAGGTAAAAATCATTGTATGTGAAATATTAAGAAATTGAAATTTCCTTATCTATTTTTAGTTTATCTTCTTCAACAAAATCTTGTTCATTTTTACAATTATCTTTAACTCGTCTATCTGAAGTAAAACGATTGGATTCTAAACATCGTTTATTATGTATGGCAATATCTTCAAGTGATAGTTTATTTATTAATTATGAATATGGTCTTTATATTGATCATTGGTCTATAAAATCATCACCATTAAAATTACTTAAACGTTGGAAAAAATTTGATTTAACAACCGATTTAAATAATCAAATACATCATCTTCATTTATTTGAGAAACAAAATCCACAACGAATGGCAATTAATTTACATTTACATAATGATGATAAATATATCATCGATATTATTAATATTCAAACAATGAGACGTTTACAACGAATTGTCGATTCACAGTCAGATATATCACTATTCTTTGTTGGTAAGTGAAAATAAATATAGAAGTATATTCTAAAATCAATAAATATTTGAGAAGAATTTTTAAATTAAGAAAAATTTTATCATAGTTGTTGTACTTTATTTTAGGCTGTTTTCATTTTTCTCATGATGATAGTGAAAATTTATTAGCAATTGATTATCGTAATAAACCGTCTAGTATGTATTTTGTTACTTTTCATGATACTAGTGACAGTAATGAAATAGAATTAATACAAAAAGTGAATGTTGAACAAAGTTTAAATGTGGGTGAAATACGTGTAATGCGTATATTCAATAAAAATTCTCTTGTTATTGGTAAAAATGTTAATGGAAGTATTCTATTAGATTTATATAAAAATTAGATTTTATTTCTTTTTTTGCATCGAATCTCATATTTTTTGTTTCATGATCACTTCTTTTTTTTTTCGGTTAAATTTTTCTTCTGTATTTTCTTTTTGGTTATAAGAGCAGTAATAATATGATAGAATACATATTTGATATTAAAACATGATATTCAAAATTGTATACTGTTCATAAAGTTTTGGTTTCGTCTAAAAGACTTTTATTGATCGACTGAATTGTAATGATTAGTCAGCGTAAGATTAATCGTCATTGTTTTTCAGACAGAATTGAACTTTATGAAAGCGCTGAATTGTTCATTATTCCCTAGTCAATATTTCCGTAAAAGTAAGACATACAGAAGTTCTACTTCTAAAAGATTTAATCGTAAGTACCTGCTGAATTTACTATTTTTCACAATTTAGAAGATCAGTTTATACATCCTTACCTTACTCAGGGGGAAATTTTGTCGAAATTTCATTTTGAAGTTATGCAGTTGCAACATCAAATGGATGTGAACGTTCTATAATTTCACACACGTATACAAGCGAGAATTTCTTTTCACACATCGTTTTACGACTTTCACTAGTGACCACGTGCGAAAAACATGACGCGAAAAGTATCCGTGAGCAGTTCACGCATTGTCACAAGTAGAATATATTTTTACGCGTACCCATACATCATTTTACGATGTTCACGTGCGACCACAGTGCATTTCACGATATTCAAGTATACACGCCGTTTTATACACTAAAAGTTTCCCACAGATCCAATATGCGAAATCATTTAGCTTTTATTTTACATATATTATGTTAGAAGTACTAATTTTCGAACAGTTTTCAAAATTTTTGCCATAGTCTGTAGACTAGTCCAAAAGTTATGACAAAAAAACGTTATCGATTGTATGAACATTTTAGAGAAATTCATGTTTAAAATAAGATATTCATGTCTCTTATCCTTTTTTGGATTTTTGCTACCGTTACCGAGGTATTTACTATGTTATACCATAGAGGACGATGTTTTTACAGATATCTCGATAACAAGATTTTTTGTAAGAATCTAGAAAGAAAATGTCTAAATTTCTCTAAAACTATCATTTTTCGATCAACTGTAGTTTTCTAATGAAGTACTCAAAATAAGAGACTTTTTCATCGGTGAACGGAATATCACTTCACATAATTTTTTTGAGTATGTTTTTAGATTTTGTGCTACATTGTTATTCATATTTTTAACTGTTTTTTCAGAACAATTGTAGTGCTGAGTGCAGAACATGAATAATGCAATAACGTCTTTGATTTTGCAGCGAATGTTTATTAGAGTCAACTTTTGAGTAAGATCTGTTTTAAAGTTTCATTGGCTGTAAGTCCGATTTGATCTACAGAACTGCTCAAAATTATAGAAATAGAGGTTCATTTTGATTTGTAACCATTTTTTGACTAAAGGAAAGACTCTAGCCTGGAACAGCAAACATGAAAAATGTGCATTAGCTTATATCCGTATACGTAATAAAATTTGATTCATATTTGATCGAGTGTCAAGCAAAAACCTTACTGAAAGCTGTCGATTTTTCCCTACTCAAAATTATAGAAACACTTTCTAGTTTTTGTTAATTTTTATTTCCACATGATCAGCTTTGCTTAAAAGTCACATGTTGGATAGAGGATTTTATTCTGAATATTTCTGTAAAAAATGTTTGAAAAATTATTTAAACGCTGCTTTTAAATTCGATGTTGACTTTCAAACAAAACGGGTAGAAAACATCAAAGCAACTCAATGTTTAAACCATGAAAACGAAACTTGTGGTGAGTAACTGTGTCTGAGCACATATTCTGAAAGTAGACAAATTTCGCTTCAAAAGGCGATGCTCGCGGGCTCCAGGTGATTTGTCATCACAGATGATGTCACAGATGTATGATCTTCGCAGTGTCAAATACCAATACAATAAGGAATTTTGGTACGATGAAACCTATATACCTATATAGTAGTCGATAAGTCAAACAACAAATGGAAAAAAATATCTATAATACAATTTATTCAACATTGGTAATAATTCCATTGAATTAAAAGACGATGATGGTTTAAAACTATGCCGAATATAACAACAGGAATACTTAAAAATAGTTAGTTAGACGCAACTGTTTGAATTTATTCTTCTCTGTTAACATTTCTTAAACTGTTGTATGTTGTCTTTTTTGACTGTATTCACGGAAAATACTCTTAAAAGTATGTCCAAGCGAAAATTCATTCGTGGTCTAAGGAATTGAATGAAAAATATTTTGAAAAAACGACTACAGTCAACTTGTATGTGGTCTTTACTGGAGACTTTAATATATGCTAAGAAAAATTTTTAAAAATAATTATCTTTTATTGGCGTTTAATACAACTTTTCGTCCAAAACTGTATTTCAATCAATAAACATCAAATATCAATATGCTGAAACGCATTTGTGCATCTTATCAAATTGTAATCATCACGACAGCTGGATGCATATTGTTTTATTTGAAGTTTTATCGTTTTCATATGTATAGTTGACATGATTTACTCTCAGTTCGTCCCAAATTGCTTATTCTCACACCTGCCCACCCCGACGAACTGAGAGAACACCAGTTGACATAGTGTGATTAGTATATAGTGTATGATATGACAAACGAGAATTTATGAGTATGCAACATTGGAAGTGTTACAATTATTTCTATTGCAGCTATGGTTTACTGATAATAAATCCACAAGTAGCGGTTCATTGCAAAATATTCATTCAGTACTCTGATGGATTTATATTATTCCACTGAATTTGAACTTCGTTTATTTTTCTTTTTTTTCTCAAGGCCTTTCTCTCTCAACAAACTGAAGAGGAAGTCGCGCCAAGTGTCCACCGTCTTTTTCATTCATCTTTGGCTCAAAAGTAGAACTTTGTAAACTATGAAAAAACCAAGAGGATTTGTATCCACGAGTCTCTAGTCAAAAGTTATCGTCGTTTTATAGAGGTCA